TGAAAGCACATCATAATTCCCTTACGTTTTAATTAAGATTTAATGATTTATTTGTTGTTTCCGACATTTTTAAAACTAATTGCTTCTTTTTCAGGGAAAAAGTAACCGACTGCCCTGAGCAAAGTAGCCAATGCGTTCCATTAGTCGTCAGTGCTTATTGCAACCCCTGACTATACTATTCTCACAAGGAAAATATCTGGATAAATAATCAATCAACTGAATCTGACCAAAAGTTTAATTGTAATTTATATTCTCCTGAATGCTGCTAAATATACATTCTGATACAAATTTTCAATTTATTAGTTTAGTTTGTCCCATGTGAAGATCAAAATTTGTTCTGCAGTCGATCTTCAGACTCGGACAGATCAAACATGTTGGATGCTCCAAACTCACTTAGATGAATCTAACTTAGCCAGACATCAGACTTTTCATGAACTTAACTCCCTAAGTTCGTCTCAAGAAAAGTCTGACATTTGGCCTTAAATGATTTAGTTACAAGACAAACTGCCTCAGCCCTTGCCACAATTAAGCTTAAACAAAGTGCTTACTTAGCAACAAAGTATAATTTTCGAGGATGACCGAATGGAAGTTTTTTGGAGCCCTGGAAATTATCCACATGAGGTGTGCTCCATATTTTCTTTTATGTTAGTCACTTACTGAGTTTTCATGTTATTTGAATGAAAGAATTATAAAGTTTTATCTCAATTTCTCAATCTGAAACATCGTCCCAATTTGAACTACACATAAGATGACTTTCCTTCCCCACTAAAGCATGATTACTTTTTCCCCCAGCTACCAATAATTGAGACAAAGATATATTTTTCTTTGCGAGAAGAAAAATCATGATTCCACTTTACTTCACAGAGGATTTAGCCCATAGCTGGGCTTATTTAGCATAAGCATTGAATCAGTAAAGGTCAGATCTCTTGTACAGGAAAAAATCAAAGAATAAATAGCATTACTTTTTGTAAATGTTATCTTGTAAATATTTTTCTCAATTTTTTTTTTACACGGAATCTTGCAGTTTTGGATGTAAACAAAGCATGTCCAAATGATTGACAAAGTTAGCACAAAAGGGTGACACATTCAATTCTCAAAGGTACTTTTCCTCTTGACTAGCAAAGAAATATTATATAACTGGCTCGTTTAAACAAAGGGAAGGCAAGACAATTTATTTTGACAAAAACAATCGCAGAATTAAACCACTGGGAACTACAATAACAAAATTATTGTCATAGGTAATCCACAACTGCAAGTCCCAATGCAACCGCAAGCTAACCGAAAGTTACACGCTTTAACATAATAATAAAACTGTACTATTACAAAAGAATAGAACTCGATGATAAAAAATGTTAACATGATAATGATAATAAAAGGTGAAACCACATTCGCGCTAATCGTCGACGCAAATTATATCTCTTCAAGGTCAGAGGGGTATCATTCAGGCTGTTTTAACAAACATTTTCAAATAATTCATTCATCCCCTAAAATAAAACATTCTAGACAATAAATGATCGATTTCAAGCTTTCACGGACTTCAAAGGGCGGAAAATTATATCCTTCTGATGAGAATTCAAGAGTTAGAAATAATCAACTACATAAACGCGAGGAATTTAAATCTTCCAAGCTTTGAACAACGTAATTTAAAACCGCAGTTTTATATACTTAGAATCAATGTTAGCAACGAAAACCTCCATATCCTTACCCGAGTTGTGTGACAGAAGTTGCAGATTTTGCTAACTTAAGGAGTGATTTAGCATAGACTTCTTCCACGGCGGATCTAAAACATGGAGAAGAAATCGCAGATAATCACGAAAATAGATACAGTGTACAGCTTACCGGGAAAGCTGAACTACAAAGCGAAGTTCTTATGTTTATAAAATGTAGATTTTTACTCACCTTTCCCGCACAAACTCCACAAGCTTGCAGCTGGCATTGTTGCCATATTTCATGTTATGATACAGCATGTCAAACCCGGCATTTTTCTCTCCCTGGAATAAAACAAGAAAAGTTACAGAATAAGCTTGTTGGACGGCAACATTCCGGATGTCAAACAGAGTATTCGACGACACGACAAAAATTGCTGCTTTTAGAACTTCAACCCACCCAGAAATGGTCCTCAAAAACCACCATTTTCTATGTGAAGTCCAAAATCAAGTTGTCAATTCTTAGATTTGTCATTAGGTATGGAAAACGCTATTATGGATATCAACATGGCAGCCTGCGACTCTGAGCGGAAGCCCTTGCCGACAGCCGCGAACTCGGAGCCTTCGCGGCCCGCATCGACAGTGGAGTCTGGGTCGAGGGAAAATTTTGATCAAATCATTTGAAACTTATATTTAGCTTGAATTTCATCCGATAACTTCGAGTCGTTATTACTCGAGGAGAAAACGACTCGAAGCAATCGGATGAAATTCAGGCTACCCAGTATTCGAGTATATATATATATATATATATAAATTATTATTTTCTACTAATTAGCGAACACCCCAAGGCGATTTGAAGTCCCTGGCGAAACGCCATGCATTTCAAGCACTTGTTTGCCATGTCGACTTTTGTTTGTATTTATTTTCTTCAGCGAGTTATCATTTATTAGCCAACATTCTGTTTAAATTGGCTGTATGTATGAACAAAAACGACGTTTCCGAATAAATATATTTATATTTAATAAACATAGACCGGTTGTTAAATGAATAACTTATGTTAAGTAATACTGTGCATGAGTAAGTTTTATTTTCTCCGCATTGAGTGATTCTGGGAAAAGAAGGGTAATAATTTGAAAAATAGCAGGAGATGTCATCCTTTTTTTTGGTAGTTTCTTCAAATTTTTAGAGTTGTTATAAGTTCTTTAAATTTGAATTGTAAACGGATCGCTGATAGATCCGGAAGAAGGTCATTCTGACAAAATTTTCACAGTAAATTTGACGTTAGTTTCCTAAAAAATTATACAAATATTAAGTTTAGAGTAAGTACAAAAAAATAAGCTTATATATATCATAACGGTAGGTACGATATATTTTCATTATGAACATTTCCGCAACTAAGATCTTTATAAGCTTACTGGCTTACTTCATTTCTAAAAGTGCGATGAAATTGAAAACGTTTTCACGTTCGCTGTGCCTAAAAAAATGTTTAGCCTCGATGGTTTCCTATCAAAGTTAACAAAAAGATGAACATTTCAGTTACGTTTTGCGCTCAAGCTTGGTTACGCTTATGTCGCTGTTTTAAATAAGCTTTTCAATTCAAATTTACCTGGCATGAGGTCTGAAGTAAACTTGTTTTCTTGCTTTCGGGTAGTTGTTTTAAAAAACACTGTTTACGGCTTGAATGAATCTTTGGCGTAGTAACTCGCGAAAAGAGGTCGCTTAAAGATCGGTTAAGTCTCTCTCTGCTTCCCAACTGCCTTTTGTCGGCAAAGTTAACCTTTTGGTCTCTTAATTCAGGACAATTGTTCTCTTCCGGCGCTGAATCTTCCACAGTGTACCAACTGCTTGAAAAATCGTCTTTACGGTCAAATAGGTGAACTGTATGTCGAAGGTCAGACTCACTCGCCGGTGAGACATCTTCACTGTTTGTTAAAAGCCCTTCGTCTTCCTCTAGGGGATTTCTTGATCCATGACCAGAGAACAAAGAGGCTACTGAGTCTCTACGTTTCATCATCTGATCCAAAAACTGGCATTTTAAAAGTTTGTTGAAACTTTCGTATTACTTCTCTCACTAACGCAAAGAAGCTCAAAGACGTTTTGGAAAAGCATGGCTCCATCAAAGTGAAGTTCGTGTGCGTTTGTTCGGCTTTAGCTAAGTCACTGCTCTTAGCCACTGTTCAAATACACCATTTTGCATGTTAGAAGTCTTTTCCCCTAGTATTTTAAGGATAAGGTGCAGTTGTTCTCTTTTTAACGTTTGCTTATCTATTTCCTTCAGCAGGCGTTTTGCAGCGTCAGTCTGTTAGTGTGATTTCGTCACGATCCCGGATGTTAACACTTTGTAAACAAGGCAACAAACTCTTCAACTTTTTTCGAATGTAACTTGGCGGTTTGACAAATGCAGCGAACGTTGTAAGTTTGATAATGTCATGGCATTCCATAATCTTTACTTAAAGTCACTTTGATATACTGCCTACCCTGTTAAGTTCTTACGCCCCATTTTTGCGCTCCATGTAAGGGAATCTTAAGACAGTCTTGGATTCTACGCCGCTGATTCCGGATTCCAGGTACTGAATTCCAGTCCTTGTCATTCTGTATTCCAATCGTTAGTGGAATCCCGAATCCCACGAACAAAAATTTCCCGGATTCTGAATACCACAAGCAAAAATTTGCGGGATTCCTGAAGTTTGGATTCCCTTACCATGGGACGAATTTTTGCTGTTGCGTTACCTCTACATGTTGTATTTACATACCTTTTGTGTTTATCGACAATGTTTGTGAAAGCTGTCTAATTTTTAAACATTAAAATTCCCGTAAGCACAACAACAGTGCTTTAAGCGGTAAAAAAAAAACTCTTTTTGGATCCGAGACTAGTGGCCAAGAGCCACTGAATCCCATTATGGCTCTTGTGGTGCTTTAAAAAAAGGTCAGATTAAAGAGATAGTCACCTACCAGGACAGAAAGAGATCCTACTGTCCACACAAATGACCTTTTTTTTTAAGAATTGGTTACGTCATAACCAGAGATAAAATAAAGTTGTTAGACATCCTCATCGGTGTTTTCTCGTTCTTCTTTTATTAATTTGTCTGATGATCAAAAGCTATTCTGGCCTCTGGTCTTGACTCCGGTGGATCAAGATTGTTGAATGCTCGCCGGAAATGTTCGGTGCAGTCCGGCTAACGTCGGAACTTTACGATTATCCCACAAACAGGAAGTTTACGCTTCTGATTCCCAAATGTGCATGTGCTCTTCTGAAATTGTGTATGTAGAGAAGGTAGTCTGCTGAGAACTCTGATCTTTTGAGCATCAGTTGGACCTACCCTTCAGCAAATATTTAAATGCTAAATTCACGACATGGCACGAGTTCTTTCATTCTTGTTGAGTAGTCTAGTGACTGTCTGGCTCTCGTCACGATCAGTTGCCGATGGTAAGTTCATTCTAACATATAGTGTTGTCTTAACACAGATTTTGAGTAGACAAGCTGTAGACAGTAGAAAAGGCAGCCGTATAGTGACTTAATAAAACAGTTAAAAGTTTAAAATCGTTTTGTACGCGCGCTTTAATATCAGCTGAAAGACAGCTACACAGCTTACTTGGTGCTCCTGCGGTGACTTTGAACATTGCCGCTAAAATTTACAGTCTGATGGTCTGATGTAAAAGGCTAACTAAATTACCATTTATTTATGATTCTACACCGATCCAAAGGCGGCGAATTGCCTCGCCAGACCTCCAACAATTTGTTTATAAAATAATTTAGCACGTTTTCAATGGAACAAGATATTACAGCTCATTAAGTTACTCATATCGTAATTTTAGGGCGCACGACGATTTGAGCGAATTAAAAACTCTTCCTTGAAAAGGTCATTATTATTGAGAGTTCCATTCCTTGGTTTTAATTGTATTTTGGCGTTTGTTTCCGAGGAGCTGATTTGTACGTATTTTATAACTATGGAATGAGTATGTTTAGCATATTAGCACTTAGTTGGAAATTTAAATAACTTAGAATATCATTATAATCATTATTTAGCCCGACAGCTCATCTAAACTACTAATGAAAACATCATCGTTAAAACACAATGTTAGACGTCAAAAAGATACTAGGACAATTCTCAAAATCGCACAAAGACTGCAAAGAACTTGGTTTTAAAACGCTTTGTAAAGCTTGAAGAAATGTTTAATGCTTTAGTACGTTCATGCGTCAGTTATTTCACAATTAACGTTCTTGAGGTCACGAACGTAACGAAGGTTGCGCCCGGTATGGATCGAGTAGGGCGTTTGTGGCGCGAAAAGCGAAGATTAGTAATGGTAGCAGGACTGAGTAGAGACCAATTCGGTCTGTAATCATGCGAGTGATTAACAAAATCGTAGCGAGAGCCCGATTTGTTTTAATAATCACGAGTATGATTACTACAGACCGAATTGGCCCGCGAATTGGACGACACGAAGTTCTGTTACCAATTAATCAAAATTTGTGATATATAGGGCTCTTTTTTTGAAAGGTTACCGTTTTTTTGCAAGTCTTTTCAAAGAGAGGTAAAAAAATTCATTCACGAAGCGATTCGTTTTGCTTGATTAGTCCCAGTCTCCTTGGGTTCCTGTTGCATATTAGCGGGCAATTTACAAAGGTTTGGATAGAAGTTTACTTGGCGCTGTTTCAGCCAAGACAGTAGCTGAGCTTTAAGCAGTTACTGTCAAGGGTGGATTTAGGGGTGGGCCGAGGAGGCCTCGGCCACCCCTTTTTCTTTGAAATTTTGTGTTATTTTTATAGAATTCTAAGAAAAATAAAAAGTATCTATATAGCTGGCAAGTGTCCCGGCCACCCCTTTCTGAATTTTCTGGATCCGCCCATGAGTGTGACGTACGTCTTTGGTATCCTTCATTTTGTGCGTTTGGTTTGCCGCTTTACTTTTCAGCGGAAGTCACATGGCCTGCAGGGACTTATGGGTTACCCAAAGCAAAGAATGGTTGTCCTGTGTCGCTAAAGACCAACTGGACCACAGGCTGGCGGTTTGAAGATCTTGAAGATACAAACCCAGGAACTAGTAAATCAGAAAGTTATCATTTAGATACAAAAGTGGGAATCGATGTTAATCGGACGTTCTGTATAAAGAACAAGAATGACGTTTCGACTGAGTGGCCAAAAGGTAAGCTTGGTTACACTTAAAAATAAACTGCTCATGAAGAGCTGTTTTCACTGGAGTGTTGTCAAACTGAAACAAATAATAATAATATTAATAATAATGATGATGATGATGATGATGATAAGACCTTCAGCCAGTTGCAACTGTCTCAGGATGTGCAACCAACCAATCAGAACACGAAAAAGTGCGGGTAACCGGTGTCCAGTGTCAAAAAATTGACGAACGAAAAGGATTGACCCACCCAAAAACCAAACTTTTTCTTTGTTCTTTTCTCTTGAAAAGAAAGTTGGTGTTCCCTTAGGAAGCTCACAAAATAATAGAAAGCAGACTTCAAAACCACAAAAATCAGGTCAAAAACCCGTTCTCATAGCAATTTAGGAATGGTTTTTCTTTTACTGGTGATTGGTTAGGTTCGATTTCCGGGCGGAGAAATTAAGAGCGCGGGCTCTTTTTCCGAACAGCGGCTGGTATTCGAACCAAGTGATTGGTTGACAGGGAACGTGATAGACAGTTGGCGGACCGCTGGCGCCAACCAGAGTCATACGCAGGCAATTTACTGCGCTTTTCACAAACATGCGAATCTGAAGTTCAAAAGCCAACTGACGATCCCGTTTTTTGCTGCCGTCAATCATCTTAACGGACCTCTTAGGAAACAAAACTTTACTTTAACGGGTCCAAAAGGTCATGGTTTGTGATTTGTGACTGGTGGATTTGGATCCGTTTTCTGTATTTCACGGTTCGTTGCTTGTGATCGTAATTATGATTGACGGCGGCGAAAAACGCAATTGTCAAGGCGGCTTTTGAACTTTAGAGTTCGCATGTTTGTGAAAAGCGCAGTAATCAGAGATACATGGGGCGTTGTCAGGCTGTGGCGTCTTCCATGCAAGAGCAAAAAAGCAGAGCAAAAAAACTTAAGATGGGTTAAAAAATGATGGTAACTTATAGAAGATGGCTTGATTTGCAAAGTGTACTAATCCAAAATTGGCAAAATACAATCGAGGGTACTTCAAAATTCCAAACTTATATTTCATGTTATTCTCTTTCTCTCTTTGTCCACAGTCTCGAAATGTTCGGGTCAACTTGGTCAATTTTTTATATCTGCTTTATTTTCTTTAGGTCAATACTGTATTTTCAAGAAAGGAGATTGCCCCAAAGGATTTAAGGAAGGGCATGTCTTTTGGGACGATGAGAATGACAAGAACATCAACAAGAAAGGAGGGACACTTCCTGACGGCATATACGACCAAGACNTTATAGAAGATGGCTTGATTTGCAAAGTGTACTAATCCAAAATTGGCAAAATACAATCGAGGGTACTTCAAAATTCCAAACTTATATTTCATGTTATTCTCTTTCTCTCTTTGTCCACAGTCTCGAAATGTTCGGGTCAACTTGGTCAATTTTTTATATCTGCTTTATTTTCTTTAGGTCAATACTGTATTTTCAAGAAAGGAGATTGCCCCAAAGGATTTAAGGAAGGGCATGTCTTTTGGGACGATGAGAATGACAAGAACATCAACAAGAAAGGAGGGACACTTCCTGACGGCATATACGACCAAGACACTTTGGTTTACTACTGCTGCAGAACAGATGGTAAAAGATATACACCCATCTCCCTCCCCGTCATAAGTCCTTTCTATCTTAAGACGTTTAATACGTCAGAGTGTCAGCGAGTTAAAGGCGCAATTGCTACGGAGGAGTTTATACGATTTGACACTGAAGATAGCAGAAATAAAGACCGGCAGAACGGAAGCTATCCTTATGGCGCGGGAATTGCAAATCATCGACTTTTGTACTGTTACTATGAAAGTAGGTTATAAAGCTTATTTTTTCCTAATTAAAGTGTCACCATCTGTAGTAATTGGTCTAATTCAGTTAAGATACTTACACTATTTTCCAACGAATTAAAACTGAAGTCACGCCAAAGCCACTTAAATTTGCAGTAAACATAGTGACACCTTGAAAATCCGTGCCTAAGAATTATCAGAGATAAACCCAATATTGTACATTAACCCTTTTAGTCCCAATAGTGACCAACAGCAATTTTCTCCTAACGATATCCATGCATTGTCATTAGATGAGGTTATGAGAATTAATAAAATGATCACCTAAGAGAAAATAATTTGATCTTTTATCAAATTCTCTTAACTAATTCTTAAAGGAAATGTATAGAGATCAGTTTGGAGAATTTGTATGTGGATATCGGGGCTTAAAGGGTTAATGAAGTCTGCTTAAATTTAGATGACTGAAGTGAGAATTGTTAATACATTGGACAAAAAAAAAATAACTACAACAACTGCAGTTCCTGTTTAAGGCCTTCGAGCAAAGTTTGTTCGTTTGTTTGTTTGTTATTGGTTTTTGCATTTTTACCGATGTTAAAATATCGCTAACACGCTGTTTGGGGCGCCTTAGTCTGGACTCTTGAGTTTGTTTTCTCAGGTTGTCAGTTCACGTACAGCTTGAACGGAATTCGAGATGAACAGATAGAATTCACCTCTCCCAAGTTTTACGACGGTGGATATCCCCTTTCTCAGAAATGCACGTGGCGATTTGCTGCTCCAGAGAAGATGGATGTCCACATAGAGTTTCTTGAATTGGGCATCGAAGATGATGACTATATTGAGATTCACCAAAACTGGAAAAGCGGTGCACCAGCATGGACGATTAACAATAAAGATCATGCTCTTAAGCCTGAAGGCTATGGAGAGGCAAGATTTCTTTTAATGGAGTTTCTGTCTAAAAAACCTGATTCTTCAAGGAAGAAATCTAAAGGTTTTCGTGGCGTCTTTAAAGTTAAAGGTGGTGAAGGTAAGATTCAGATTGCTTGAGCTCGTTCGTTGTTTGTTTCGCAATCTTGTGTCGAAGGAGAACAAGCAAAAGAGCCTGGAATTGAGAAATGTTTTGTGACACGCACGACTCGCACTCATCTTTCTGATGCCATAGTCAGCATGGAGAGGTTACACACCACGTCTAGGCAAACCGCCGCCTCCCACTGGTTTGTCGTTTGTTGTCGATACAGATCGCCTTAACCATTATGTATAGAGCGTATTCCCTCGCGTGGCTAGCATCTATGCAAATTTATGGGAACAAAAGACATGTTTTACATAAGAAAAAAGTCCAACTCCGACAGGATTTGTTTGGAAAACCAATATGGCCGCCAATTCATTGTTTTGGAACACCAATATGGCCGCCGTGACGTCATGTGAATACGCCCCATACATTCATCCCCACTAAAAAGGTCACCGACAGTCGCCTTTGTGCAATCTAACTTCGGTTTAATTGTCAGGTTCCACTAATCAGTTTCTTTCACGCGCAGCATGAAATAAAAGAGCAATATTATATTCCCTATTTATGACAGCCTGTGATCGTGCCCTCGCTATATCATATCTCTATCTATCTTTCTGACGGGAAGGAGGAAATTTCTTTGTTCTCCCTTTCTTCTCAAACAAGAATTTTAAAAAACCCTGATTTGTAGGCTACATCAGATGCCCCTTTTTGCATAGTCACACACTGTATAAAATAATATACCAGGAAGCTTAAGCAACGACGACGGCGAGGTCAACGAGAACACCTTTGCACATGCACCACTCTTTCTTGAACATTTCTTCGCCGACGTTGCTCGACTACCACGTAAAACGTCCTAATTTTACGTTTTGTTGAATACGTGACCGCAAAACAATGACTTTCTTTTTCTTTTCCTGAACTTTGATAGGGTCTTTTAGAATTCAACTACAAAAAAATTTGCCAACATTTGACGAATTGAACTATATGGGATAAGCACGATAAAGTTTTAAGCAGCGCGAATTCACTTTTTAAGTGACGTTTTCGTTGCCTTGGCCGTCGTTGTTACTTAAGCTCCCCAATACAGCGTTATTACCGGACGCGTCCATAAACGCTCACTTCTCGATTGTCTTAGATATTCCGATCCATCTTGAGCTTCTTTGTGTTCGTGCCATTTTAGAGTTGCCTCCTTCGGGCGTCGAGTGGCCTGCCGGGACTTTCGGGATCCCTCGTCCCAGGCTCGGATGTCCTCGCTCAAAGAACGTCACGTGGTCTACTGGCTGGCGATTTCAGGACACGGAAGACGTAAACCCCAACAACTATCATTCACAGAATTTTCACATGAACTCATCAGTCATGAAAAACGACGTAAACAGAACCTTCTGCACAGCTACAGAAAATAATGGCACAAAATCTTGGCCTAAGGGTAAGGCTTTGGACAGTCAATTTCAAGTATGCGAACACGTTTTCCAGTGAAAACTCCCAAGACTGCGGCGCGCAACTATGAAGCGAGGCTTTCACTAGGCTCGATTACCAGCCATTGTTCAGGAAGCGAGCCTGCGCTCAAGAGAGCGGTGACGTAAATCGAGCCTAGGTTTTCACGAATCAATCATGCATGATCTTTGATTTGATTTCCAATAAAGACAGTTTTCCGTAGGACTATTTGTCTTTCATTTGCTCACCAAAACACCATGAAATAAACCATGGAAAGCATGTACTCAGTTGCAGGCTATATTTCAGTACCGGATCCAGACCTTGAGATAAATAAGGGAGGGGGGGGTGGGGGGAGGGCGGTCATCCAGACCCTTCTGGTCTCAGTTTGGTCTAAAAATAAGGGGGGGGTCCGGCCGTCCCCCCCGGGCCCCTCCCCTGGATCCGCCACTGTATTTTAAAGTTACTGTATTTTAAAATATCTGTTCGGAAGACGATTTGAGATCTAGAATTTTCGGAGCATTTGTTGTAAATTTCTAGCTTGCCTGCCTCTCCTAGGATTTTCGAACATCTACAAAATGGTATAATTACCCATTTTTAACGAATTTTTACCCTAAAAAAGGCCACCTAGAATTTTCGGGAACCTTTTCTCGGCTAAAATTTTCGAAAAGGTAAGTTTTGATCCCTATAATTTTCGGATCACTAGACTTTCAGCTAGGAAATCCGAACAGATGAAAAGTTTTTAGGGGATAAAAATATGCCTATATCTACCGTTTAAATACTAAAATACGTTCAACAATGCTATGTTAAGTGGTTTTGAACTATATCCTCGTTGGGTGCCCCTGATGTACAGCTCTGTGTACAGTATGAAAATATCACCCCACATGAATTGTCTCAATCTAGGATTTCTTCCAATAATTCCGTTATTCCTGTTATGGCTAGCTTAAATTCTCATGTAAATGCTAACTTTTATTGCATTTATTTTTATCTCATTTCAGGTCAATACTGCATCTACAAAAGGGGCACATGTCCAAAAGGACTCACAGAGGGATCCATATTTTTTGATGACGAAAATCGCAAAAACCAAAACAAAATGGGAGGGGCACTACCGGACGGAGAATACACCGAGGATACCAAGCTTTTCTACTGCTGTAGAACAGATGGTGACAAATTAGAGCCTATCTCTCTACCCATTAGTAGTCCCTTTTACCTCTTGGCGTACAACAATTCCGAATGTCAGCAAGTAAATGGAGCGCTTGCTACAAAGGAGTTTATACGATTTGACAACGAGGACACAGGAAACAAGGACGCCAAGAGTGGGACGTATCCGCACGCGTACGGAAGCTTAAATATCTCCTATTGTTACTATGAAGGTTAGTTTGGTAATAGCCTGCGAGTAAGCTCTCCGGTGCGCGCTGGCGGCGGGGCGAGAAAGGGAAGGAGAGCTTGCAACTAGGTCTCTGGAATTTGAATTCCACCTCCAATTCCCCTGTGGCTCCCCGTCGACTGAGCTGTCAGATTTCCGCCAATCAGCGCGAAGCGGAAACGAGCACGAATGTAAACAAACGTTGACAAACACGTAAAAGATCATCACTAATGTCATCTCCGCCAATGAGCATTTCGAATCGAAAGGCTCTCCTTTCTTTTCCCGCCTCGCCGCTAGAGCGCCCCGGAGAGCTTGCTCGCAGGGTAGTATGGTAACCAAGGGCACCTTAACGCTGAGCAAAGTTTCTGTATCTTGTCATGCAGTATCCGTTTCGCCACTTTAGAAACGATATGGGGCTTGGATTGTTACTGGGAACGCGCAAATCAGCTGATAACTTCTTTTTCCTTAAGTGGCAAATTACAAGACAAATTTTAGACACGACACATTGCCCAGGGCGAAAAACCTCGCAACAAGTAAATTTGCTGCGCACCTTTTGTTAAATTACAGAGAGAAAGATCTCCGATTACCATTATCATTATCGTTTCAATCCTTAGCTTGTCATTTCACCATCAGCGAGACGTCCCAGGAGTTTATGTCTCCAAGTTTCACTACCGGTGGCTACCCCAATTCTCAGCTTTGCACGTGGCGGTTCCTGGTACAAGAGAGAGGTCCGCCAAATAAGCAGCAGGTTTTAATCAAATTCCCAGAGTTCAACCTTCAAAAGGGCAAAGACGGAGATGTTGTAAAGATTTACAGCGGATGGAATGAGACAGCACCTCTTCTTGCAGAGTTCAGCGGGGATAGACCTCCACCAGCGAAGGGCGTGGCATCTAAGTCTCCTGTAGTTTTTCTGGTGTTTAGATCCGATTCTCGTGGAAAATCAAAGGGCTTTCGTGGACTGTTCATCAACCAGAGTGAGTGACAAGGGTTTGTTTTATGTGGTATAGGACGCACTTATTGCGTGCGTTTCTCGTTCGAACAGTAGTTACCAGTGGCGGATGCAGAGGAGGCGCCGGTCCCCCTTCAGGGGTACCCAACGACGATTTCCTCCAAAATTCATTGAAAAGTCTTTTTAGGCTATCCAGAGTACGTTTAGATCTCTAGAAATGCATTCTAGGGGGCGCTATAAAATTTGTATCTGTTCGGTCGACCTAGGGCAACTTGGATCTTTTCGAAATTATAAGGGCTTCAGTATTATTTTCCTGATGCAAACTTTTTGAGACTGCTCCCCCCCACCCCATCCCCCTATTTAAGGGTCTGGATCCGCAACTAGTTACTACCAATGGGGAGGCAGTGTGGACGAGTGACCAGCGGACTGGCAATCCGGCGTTCCAGGGTTCGCGTCGCCAGTCTCTGGGTTTTTTCTCGGCAAGAGAACATTTCTCGGTGGTCCCGAGTTCAAATCCTCGGCCACGCTTGTAAATAGACAACTGGTCGCCTCCTACCAGTTTTGGGGTTTTAAATCCTGTTATGTTCTATGTGCATTATTTGTTTTTAATTACATGTGTCTCTTTTTGTAGGTTATGACGCAAAAGCTGTACCTAAACATCCCATTACCCTTCCTTCTACTTCGACGATTAAGCAAGGTAAGAACACTTTTGTAATGCTGGGAACTTTTAACAACCCATAACTGACCGCTTCTGGGAATCTGCCCACATACCCCTTTCCTAAGCCAACATTAGCAGTTACTTCTCACTTATGGCAAAATGTTGGCTTAGGGGAGCGCAGGTGGGCAGTTTCCCAGGAAGGTATAATGATCCCCCCGGAGGAAGTAAAGATGGCAGAATATTAGCCAAGGCGAGAAAATATGACAAAACAAGCTTGGTCAAATAAAGCACAATTATATAACAAAAGAGGAACAAGAGAAACAAATTTTTCTTACGGGATATATCAAGTAATCCTATCTTCCATCCCCTTGTTACCCTTGTAACCCCTTCTTACCCCATGTTACCCTGGTTAACCCTTGTTACCCTTTGTAACCCCTTGTTACCCTTGTTACCCCTTCTTACCCTTGTTACCCCTTGTTACCATTGTTACCCTTGTTACCCTTTGATACCCCTTGTTACCCCTGTTACCCTTTGTTACCCTTGTTACCCCTTGTTACCCTTGTTACCCCATGTTACCCTTGTTACCCCTTGTTGCCCTTGTTACCCTTTGTTGCCCCTGTTACCCTTTGTTACCCTTGTTACCCCTTGTTACCCCTTGTTACCCCTTGTTACCATGTTACCCCTTGTTACCCTTGTTACCCTTTGTTACCCTTGTTACCCTTGTTACCCCTTGTTACCCTTGTTACCCCTTGTTACCCTTTGTTAACCTTAATGCCCTTGTTACCCTTATTACCCTTGTTACCCTTTGTTACCGTTGTTACTCTTGTTACCCCTTGTTACCCTTGTTACCCTTGTTACCCTTGTTACCCCTTGTTACCTTTGTTACCCCTTGTTACCCTTGTTACCCTTGTTACCCTTGTTACCCTTGTTACCCCTTGTTACCCCTTGTTACCTTTGTTACCCTTGTTACCCTTGTTACCCCTTGTTACCTTTGTTACCCCTTGTTACCCTTGTTACCCCTTGTTACCCTTGTTACCTCTTGTTACCCTTTGTTACCCCTTGTTACCTTTGTTACCCTCGTTACCCTCGTTACCCTTGTTACCCTTTGTTACCCCTTGTTTCTTTTTGTTACCCCTTGTTACCCTCGTTACCCTTTTTACTCTTGGTACCCCTTGTTACCCTTGTTACCCCTTGTTACCCTTGTTACCCCTTGTTACCTTTGTTACCGCTTATTACCCTTTGTTATCCCTTGTTACCCCTTGTTACCCCTTGTTACCCCTTGTTACCCTTGTTACCCTTGTTACCCCTTGTTACCCTTGTTACCCCTTGTTACCCCTTGTTACCCTTGTTACCCTTGTTACCCTTGTTACCCCTTGTTACCCATCTTACCCCGTCTTACCTTTTGTTACCCCATGTTACCCTTGTTACGCTTTGTTACCCCTCTTTACCCTTTTTACCCTTTGTTACTCTTGTTACCCTTGGTTACCCTTGTTACCCCTTGTTACCCTTTGTTATGCCTGGTTACCGTCTGTTATCCCTGGTTACCCTTCGTTACCCCTTGTTAGCCTTGTTGCCGTTGTTACCCTGTTTTCTCCTGTGTTACTTTTTAATCCTCTGTGTTGTAACTTTAACAATATAATTTCATAGAGAAAAAACATATCTTAAACTGGAAAGAGCTGATGTACAGAATAGGTTTTCTTAATGACCGTAAACACTGTCTCTCTTTTTCTTCAGCAAATCAGTCGCTGAATGTTTCCACGAGTCCAACACCAACACCAACACCAACACCCGGTAAGGAAAACCTAGATGGCTTGCAGTTGTTTTTTAGGTGTGCGGACAACGCCCTACCAAGTCCGGATTAGTATCTCCCAATCTTAGACGATTAGCCCTCAAGCTTAATTGCAATTTTAAGACGAAACTTACTTTTGTTACTCTTCTCCACTCGCGGCTGACTGTTGCTGTAGTATGTTGCAATCACGAAACAACTTAAGGTAGTTGTAGTATAGCATTTTGAAGTTTCTTTCTCTTGTGTTTGGCGGAATAAAGTATCTTGGAGTGACAATATATTTGTGGAAAGTAACATACTAGGTGTTTTCATAATGGGCTCTTAAAGTCTAGAGATTTTGGGCAAGCTGTAATGGGCTTTTGCGCGAGTTGTCTAACGTTTTGTTTTAGCGTCGGTAATGCTTCGAATTCTCAAACTTCTTATTTAACTTTCAGTTTCAGGCTCATTAGAAACACAGACTGGTTCATCCGCCGCTCCTATGAACGTTATAATTCCAGTTCTGATCACGCTTATTCTCGTAATTGCGCTGGTCATTGTTTGCTTCATTAGACGCAAGAGACTCGAAAGACGAGTACGAAAAAGACTAGGTAACAGTGCAGCTAACTTGGTCAACGATGACAGTTTAGCTCAGTATCACGACCTCCACTCACAAGATTATGATTCTTCTGAAGAACTGCAAAATATCTTTCCTACAAGTTAAAAAATGGTCCAAGACCTAGACCTTTAGCACGAACTTGTGATGTTTGATGGATAGTTGTTATCTATTGACTTCATAGCGAAAAATTTTAAAAAAGCACCCTTCATTTCCAATTTAAACATGTTAAAACATTTTTCTGACAAAACGGTTGTGTAGCTCTCAAAAATGCCATGGTTTTAACCAGTATTATAGAATATCTGTTTACTTTTTGCAAAAAAAGGCAAAAAAATAATATTTCAAAGAAATATTAAAAATAAGCCAGACAGTCTAATATTGCCTTAAACTATGTTTAACTCTTTAAGGAAAAAAAGCAAGATATTGCCCATAACGTTCCCATACCATTGTCTTAGAAGTCTCTGAACTACCGCGACCCATTCTCTTAAATTGCTCGCTCTTCTGGGGATATATATAAACAGTTTATGCATTGGCGGATCCAGGGGAGGGGTCCGGGGTAGGGGGGGAGGCGCCCCCCCTTATTTCTAACCAAAACTGAGGCTCGAAGGGCTGAAAAATTTTTTTTGAGACCGGGTTCCCCCCCCCCGTTAGCTCGGAGTCTGAATGACCGCCCCCCCCTTATCTGAAGGTCTGGATACGCCACTGTTATGGATGAGGATTTCGTTATAACAAAAATACTAGTAAAGGTACCCTGGATGTAAGTACGCCAAAATATACATGGGTTCTTACGACCGGCACCTTTTCCATCCCGGGGTTCTTACGTTCAGGGGTTGTAACATTCAAGGCCTCCTTCGTTAAGGATTTTGGCGTCCAAGAGTTGTTAAAATGAGGAGTTCTTCCGCTCAGAAATCGTACATCGAAGGGTTCTAACGTTCAACGTTTCTTTCGTTTAGGGGTCATTACCTCCAGGATTTTTTACTTCCAAACGTTGGTACGTTCCTGGTTTCTTATGCTCTAGACTTCTTACATCCAAGGGTTTCTAAATCAAAACGTTGTTCAAATGGATAATTATCAGCAGGTTCAAAGAGGCAATATGATAATAATAACAAAAGGCCTCTGGTTGTAAGACTCCTGATCTTAAGAACCCTGGTTGTAAAACTCCTAATACTAAGACCCCCGATTTTTAAACTCCTAATAGCAAGACCCCTGGTTGTAAAATTCCTAATGGCAGGACCTCTGGTTGTGAGACCCCTGGTCGTAAGACCCCTGGTTGTAACACCCCTGGTCGTAAGACCCCTGGTGGTAAGACCTCTGGTTGTAAGACTCCTAGTCGTAAGACCCCTGGTTGTGAGACCCATGGTTGTAAGAATAAAAAATTGAAGAGGGAAAATAACAAAATTATGGAGGAGGGAATAAAAAAAATTGATGAGGAAACGTAGTGTAACAAAAAGATGGATAGCCTTTGTTGGTCTACTTAATGGATTTCTTTAAAATCACTGAGTATTTTATCTTTTTGCAATTATTAAAGGGTCATAAAGTTAATTTATTGTGTCTTTAAAAGAAAAGTGTCTGGTTTTATTGCAAGTATTTATTAGTCGCGTGTTTCAATTAACCCTTCTGAAGTTTTTTCATAGTTTTGTGTTTTTATAGTAATAAGTCAAGGCTGTCCGTTTGGTCTGGCTGTAGAGCGGACAAAACAGTTTTGTAATAGTTAGTCAAAATTGACATACAGAGTTTTCAGCTCCACTTTGTGTATGTGTTTTGGTCATATCCGATTTTTAGCGCTAAATAGAAGACATAAGCCGTTTCTCGCGTTGCTAGGTGGTCGCTCCTCTTATTCTTATTTTTTTAATAGACGGTCCGACAAACCGGGCTAAAGTTACTTGTTATTGTACTGATTCAGGTCTACAACTGGGAGATCCGGCACCACTCATTGGTTTGTCGCTGAGGACTTGCTGATATTTTATATACTTAGTTACTTACCGGGCAAGTCTAGGCAAAGTGTTTGTTTCTATTGTATAACAGAGGCGCTCATTAGATATGGAGAGTATGGAGGAACACCCTCATCAGTATGGAGGAACGCACTTTTTGCGAGGGAATCCTGCATATGTAATGAAGGGAATACACTTTTTGCGAGGGAATCCACCAAAACGGCGTAAAAACAACATAGTACACTACTGTCAAATTCCCGTAAGCACTTTTGGATCCAAGACTGGTGGCTTAAAAGATTAAAGAGGTAGTCACTTACTAGGATAGAAAGAGATCCTACTGTCTACCACAAATGACTTTTTCAGAGAATTGGTTACTTCATAAACAGAGATAAAATAAAGTGAGGTATTGCTGTGAAGTATTTGGTTTTGTCGTGAGGTTTTTGGTTTTGTTGTGAGGTATTTTGTTTTTGCCGTGAGGTTTTCGGTTTTGCCGTGAGGTTTTTAGTTTTGCCGTGACAGTTGTGGGCCACCGTATAACCTACTCTGGCCTCTGTCCTTGACTCCAAAGGACGAGGTTGTCAGTTGAATGCTCGCCGGAAATATTCTCTGCAGTCTGGCTAACTTCGGAACTTTACAATTACCCAAAGTGCCTTTCGATTATCCAACAAACAGGAAGTCCCAAATTTAGTGTATGTATAGACTTTCTCAAAGTCGTTCGCATGGTTTTCTGGTCTGGTGTGGTACGCGCTCAAAAGCTCGACTTGTGAGCAAGTCTAGTGTATGTAGAGAACGTCGTCTGCTGAGAACTCTGATCTTTTGAGCATAATTTGGACCTATTCTTCAGCAAATATTTAAATGCTAAATCACAACATGGCACGAGTTCCTTCATTCTTGCTGAGTAGTCTAGTGACTGTCTGGCTCTCGTCACAATCAATTGAAGGTAAGTTCATTCTAACAACACAGATTTTGAGTAGACAGTAGAACAGGCAGTCGTACAGTGACATGTTAAAACATGGAGCGTACACTTCGGCGTCGTGGTTGTGGAAATAATTGTAAATGCGGAGGAATAGTAAGAAATGATGTATGGTGGAAGTAAGGTGTCAGTTTGTGAAATTATGGGATTTGTCAGGATATTCTGAAAAGAGCAACATCCAAGAGGCCAACTTGCCATTACTAACACTACGGAGCAAATTGTCTCTTAAATATTAGCCCAGTGATGCTCTGATGACTGGCGGTGAGTAACAAGTTTAACAATAAAACAAACAGTGAAAAAGGAATTCTCTATTTTTTTTTTACATGAGGCTTCAAAAACACCCTAAACAGTCTCATGTACTGATTAAAGATATGTAAGGCATGGGTAAGGAGTCAATTACGTTGAGCATGGAATTGGCTAAAACTCAATGTTACGAGTTCGAATGTTTTGAGGACAATCATTCACTGACTATAAGCACGCAGGCCAGGATTAACACAAAGAAGTTTATAGTAAAACCAAAGGAACATAGTCTTTACAGAGCTTTAAAACACAACATGCTCCAACACAAACTTGACTTGAACTTAAGTAAAACTAAACAGCCTCTGCCAATAATAACAAACTCTCACTTGAACTTCAGATATCTTACGGCTTCCGTCAACTTGTAAACACAGAACGTGACTTGATTTTAATAACAAACTCTCACTTGAACTACTGTGGAAAAAAAGCACTTGAAAATCGACCTTGGTCACACTTGCCTAAACACAGCACTCCAGCTCGTGGGAAAAAAACTTAGTTCGTCAAAACAACTCGCTTGGAACTTGTATACCGTTTGACATATGGAATAGTAGTAGCTTCTCAACATATTTTATGATTTAAGTAACTGATGCAAATCTAACTGATGCTGAAGACTCAACATTGTGCAGCATTTTGTAACTTTAAATTCATCACAAAACGGTTCAAAAGGAGCGGTCACTCGTGAAATGTTTTTCAACACTCGAAGAGAAATTTCATGTCTCTTCGCGGCCATGTAATACTTGTATTTATTCCTAGAGTAAATTAAAGACTAAACTCGATGTGATCTCAAGATATCTCGAAGTAATTCCGGTGTCATTTCGTGAAATAGCCGAAACCACCCCGTACTAGGAAGATCCTAGTGCTAAGGACAAGTACAACCCTTGCATGTAAACTGATTACAGGAAACATATGGCGATAGGATGATCCGCCCTCTAGGATCTTCCTGGTACTAGGACCTTCCTCCCTCCATGTAAACAGCACCTTAGAGTGTCCTCTTATCTGACGGGTCACACAGGTGAGTCGGTTTAAACCCCGTGAAAGCAAAAAATAATAATTCTTTCGTCCTCGAATAAGTTAAAGAATAAATCAAAGAAATCGAAGTGATCTCGAGATAACTAGAACTAATTCGGCTCTCACTTCGTCAAATAGTCGGATAAAAGCGAAAACCAACAGACTTTCCGTGCCCAACCTTGTCCAAAAAAAGCAACTTTGGGACATTCCTGAACGTCGCGAATCCTTTACTTGGCGCTGCGCCGAAGTAATTAAAAGTTTAAAAACGCTTTGTACGCACGCTTAATATTAGCTGAAAGGCAGCTGAAAAGCTTACTTGGTGCTCCAGCGGTCATTTTGAACATTGCAGCTAAAATTTGTAGCTAAAAGTCGCTGATGATAAAAGGCTCAGTGATATTGGGCAATTTACAAAGGCTTGGATAGAAGTTTACTTGGCGCTGTATTATAGCTAAGGCCGTAGCTGAAGTTTGAGCAGTTAGTGTGACGTAAGTCTTTGGTATCCTTCATTTTGTGCGTTTGGTTTGACGCCTTCACTTTCCAGCCGAAGTCACATGGCCTGCAGGGACTTATGGGTTACCAAAAGCAAAGAATGGTTGTCCTGTGTCGCTAAAGACCAACTGGACCACAGGCTGGCGGTTTGAAGATCTTGAAGATAACAGACCTGGAACTCGTAAATCAAAAAGTTATCATTTGGATACAAAAGTGGGAGTAGATGTTAACCGGACGTTCTGTATAAAGGCCAACAACAACGTTTCGACTGAGTGGCCCCAAGGTAAGCTTATTTACACTGAAAAACAAACTGCTTATGAAGGGCTGTTTTCATTTGAGTGTCGTCGGATTAATAAATTATTAAAAAGACCCCTCCAACCAGATACAACTGCCTTAGAAAATGCGACCAACTAATCAGAGCACGAAGAAGTGCGGGTAACCGGTACCCTGGGTACCAGAGGTTTTTTCTCGCGTGCGACGAAGAGCTGAGGAGCTTTCGTCGGCCGCAGGTTGACACGTCTTCGGCCGAAGTCACTTTAAAGATTTGACCGAAACCGGAAACCGCGCATGAAAAGCCTCCGGCACCCAGGGTAGGTAACCGGCGCCCAGTGTGGTAAAATTGGGGAACGAAAGGGACTGACCCGCCCTAAAAAGTCAAAATATATCTTTTAGGGATGCGGAGAGGGAAACAAACTCCAATGTTCTTTCCTCTTGAAAAGAGAAATACGGCTTAAGATGTTTCCCTAAGAAGCTAACAAAATAATGGAGAGCGGACTTTAAAACCACAAAAGTACAAGAACGATAACGCAAAAATCCGTCTTACAGCAAGTCAGGAATGGCCTTTTTCATCCACGTTTGATTAGTTGATATAGAGGTAATAGACCATTATGGCCCATGCAAGGGAATCCAGTGAAGTCTTGGATTCTGGATCCACTCCGTGGATTCCGATTCCTGGTACTGGATTCCAGTCTTTGTCAGCGGAACTTCGATTCTGGATTCCAACCGTTAGTGAGATTCAGGACTCCACGAGAAAAATCCGGATTTCCCTACATAGGGCAAACCGTTAGCGCCAACCAGAGCCATACGCAGGCACTTTAATCAGTTAGTGTGACTTTTATCAGATGCATGAGGAATTGAGGCTCTGTTTCTGTCATGTAAGACCACCAAAATCAGCACCAAAAAATTACGATGCATTGTGCTTTCTAGTACGCCATTGTTTGAAAAAATGGCGAGATCTTATAAAAGATGGCGTCACTCGCAAAGCGAAGCAATCCAAAATCGGCAAAATATAATCTGAGGGTACTTCCAAATTCCAAACTTATGTGTCAGGCTATTTCTCTTTCTCTCTTCGTCCACAGTCTTGAACAGTTCGGGTCAAATTGATCAATTTTCATATCTGCTTTTTTTAGGTCAATACTGTATTTTTAAGAAAGGAAATTGCCCCAAAGGATTAAAGAAAGGGTATGTCTTTTGGGACGATGAGAATGGCAAGAACATCAACAAGAAAGGAGGGACACTTCCAGACGGCATATACGACCAAGACACTTTGGTTTACTACTGCTGCAGAACAGATGGTGACAAATATACACCCATCCCCCTTCCCGTCATAAGTCCTTTCTATCTTAAGGCGTTCAATACGTCAGAGTGTCAACGAGTTGAAGGCGCAATTGCTACGGAGGAGTTTATACGATTTGACACTGAAGATAGCAGAAATAAAGACCGACAGAACGGAAGCTATCCTTATGGCGCGGGAATTGCAAATCATCTACTTATCTACTGTTATTATGAAAGTAGGTAACAAAGCCTTTTTTCCTAATTTAAGTGTCACCATCTGTAGTAATTCATCTAATTCAGTTAAGATACTTAAACTACTTTTCAACGAGTTAAAACTGAAGTCACATCAAGGCCAATCAAATTCGCGGTAAACATAGTGACATCTATCTTTGCTACGAATTATCAAAGATATCGTAAATTATCTAATAAACGCTCACTTTAAAATAAACGCCTCTTATCTAATAAACGCCCTTCCCCCGCCCACGCTGTTAAGTTTGTATTAAACGCCCCTATCGAATAAACGCACCCCCACCACCCCCCGTGAAAATTGCTCCAAAATACTAAGAAATGGCGATCATCTTGGATCGCTAAAATTAAATAAACGCCCTGGGCGTATCATTTACGGTAAACCCAACATTGTACATTTATGAAGTCTACTTAAATTTAGATGACAAGAAGTTTTAATACATTGGACAAAAACAAAATAACAACAACAACTGCAGTTTCTGTTTAAGGCCTTCGAGGAAAGTTTGTTCGTTTGTTTGTTTGTTTGTTTGTTTGTTATTTGGGTTTTCGGGCGCCTTCGTCTAGACCCTTGAGTTTGTTTTCTCAGGTTGTCAGTTCACATACAGCTTGAACGGAATTCGAGATGAACAGATAGAATTCACTTCTCCGAAGTCTTACGACGATGGATATCCCCTTTCTCAGAAATGCACGTGGCTATTTGCTGCCCCAGAGAAAAAGGAGGTCCACATAGAGTTTCTTGAAATGGACATCGAAAATGGTGACGTTATTAAGATTCACAAAAACTGGAAAAGCGATGGACCAGCATGGACGATTGACAATACTGGAAAGCATCCTCTTAAGGTTGAAGGCTATGGAAGTGCAAGATTTCTTTTTATGGAGTTTCAGTCTAGAAAACCTGATTCTTCAAAGAAGAAATCTAAAGGTTTTCGTGGCGTCTTTAAAATTAAAGGTGGTGGAGGTAAGATTCAGATTGCTTGAGCTCGTTCGTTGTTTGTCTCGCCATCTTGTGTTGAAGGAGAACAAGCAAAAGAGCCTGGAAATGAGAAATGTTTTGTGACACGCCCGACACGCACTAATCTTTCTGACGTCATAGTCAGCAACGTATTCCTTCAACAGAGAGGTTACGCACCACGTCTGGGCAAACCGCTGCCTCCCACCGGTTTGTCGTTTGTTGTTGGTGATCAGATCGCCTCTTGTGCTTAACCATCATCTACAGAGCGTATTCACTCACGTGGCCAGCATCTATGCAAATTTATGGGAGCAAGAGAAATTTTTTACATAAGAAGATTCTAACTCCCACAGGATTTGTTTGGAACACCAATATGGCCGCCGTGACGTCATGTGAATACGCTCCATAATCATAGATCCAATGCAAAAATGGCTGCTAGATTAATATTCTTTTGCTTGATTTAAAACTAGCCTGACTAGCCTCGTTCTCCAGTACAAAATTCAAAAGAATACATTATCTCAAGCGAGGCTAGTCAGGCCAATCTTAATTTAAACAAAAGAATATCAGTCCGGCAGCCATTTTTGCATTGGGTCTATTAGTCCCAACTATGCAAAGGTCACTCACAGTCCGTTTTCTACAATCTAATATGGGTTTAATTCTTCAGGTTTCACTAATCAGTTTTTTTCTCGCGCAGCATGAAATAAAAGAGAAGTTATATTTACTATTTGTGACAGCCTGTGATCATGCCTATCTATCTTTCTGACGGTATCGGGAAGGAGAAAAATTCTTTGTTCTCCGTTTCTTCTCAAACAAGAGTTTTAATTAACCCTGATTGTAGGCTACATCAGATGCCCCTTTTTGCATAGTCACACACTGTATAAAATAATATATCAGGAGGTTTAAGCAACGACGACGGTGACGTCAACGAGAACAACTTTGCAAATGTATCTCACTTTCTTGAACATTTCTTTGGCGTCGTTGCTCGACTACGACGTGAAACGTTCTAATTTCACGTTTTGTGGAGTACGTGACCGCAAGACAATGACTTTCTTTTTCTTTTCCTGAACTTTGATACAGTCTTTCAGAATTCAACTACAGAAAAATTTGCCATCATTTGACGAATTGAACGATATAAAATAAGCACGATATAGTTTTGAGCAGGGCGAATTCACTTTTTAAGTGACGTTTTCGTGGCCGTGGCTGTTGTTGTTGCTTAAGCTCCCCAATATATTGTTATTACCAGACGCGTCCATAAACGCTCACTTCTCGATTGTCTTAGAGATTCCGTTCCATCTTAAGCTTCTTTGTGTTCACGCCATTTTAGAGTTGCCTCCTTCGAATGTCGAGTGGCCTTCCGGGACTTTTGGGATCCCTCGTCCCAGGCTCGGATGTCCTCGCTCAAAGAACGTCACGTGGTCTACTGGCTGGCTATTTCAGGACACGGAAGACGTAAAACCCAACAACTATCATTCACAGAATTTTCACATGAACTCATCAGTCATGAAAGATGACGTAAACAGAACCTTCTGCATAGCTACAGAAAATAATGGGACAAAGTCTTGGCCTAAGGGTAAGGCTTTGGACAGTCAATTTTAGTCTGCGAACAAGTTTTCCAGTGAAAAATCACAAGAATGCGGCGCGCAACTATGAAGCGAGGCTTTCACTAGGCTCGATTACCAGCCACTGTTCAAGAAACGAGCCTGCGCTTGAGAGAGCGGTGGAAATCGAGCCTAGGTTTTCACGAATCAATCATGGATGATCTTTCATTTAATTTCCAATAAAGACAGTTTTCTGTAGGACTATTTGTCTTTCATTTGCTCACCAAAAAAACGTGAAATAAAGCATGGAAAGAATGGACTCAGTTGAAGGTTATATTTTAAAGTTACTGCCTTCATGTACAGCTCTGTGTGCAGTATGAAAATATCACCCCACATGAATTGTCTCAGTCTAGGATTTCTTCCAATAATTCCGTTATTCCTGTTATGGCTAGCTTCAATTCTCATGTAAATGCTAATGTTTATTGCATTTATTTTTATCTCATTTTAGGTCAATACTGCATCTACAAAAGGGGCACATGTCCAAAAGGACTCACAGAGGGATACATATTTTTTGATGACGAAAATCTCAAAAACCAAAACGAAATGGGAGGGGTACTACCGGACGGAGAATACACCAAGGATACCAAGCTTTTCTACTGCTGTAGAACAGATGGTGACAAAGCAGAGCCTATCTCTCTACCCATTAGTAGTCCCTTTTACCTCTTGGCGTACAACAATTCCGAATGTCAGCAAGTGAATGGAGCGCTTGCTACAAAGGAGTTTATACGATTTGACAACGAGGACACAGGAAACAAGGACGCCAAGAGTGGGACGTATCCGCACGCGTACGGAAACTTAATAATCTCCTATTGTTACTATGAAGGTTAGTATGGTAATAACCTGGAAGTAAGCTCTTTGGGGCGCTCTGGCGGCAGGGCGGGAAAAGGACGGAGAGCTTGTAACTACGGCTCTGGAATTTGAAGTCCGCCTCCAATTCCCCCGTGGCTCCCCGTCGGCTGAACTGTCAGATTTCCACCAATCAGTGCAAAGCGGAAACGAGAGTGAATGTAAACAAACATTGAAAAACACGTTAGAGATCATTACTGATGTCATCTCCGCCAATCAGCATTTTGAATTGACGTTGTTGCAAGCTCTCCTTTCCTTTCCTTCCTCGCCGCCAGAGCGCCCCGGAGAGCTTTCTCGTAGGCTAGTATGGTAACCAAGGGCACTTTAACGCTGAGCAATGTTTCTGCATCTTGTCATGCAGTGTTCGTTTCGTTAAGAAACGATATGGGGACTGGTGCCGCAATTGTCTCTGGAATCGCTACTGGGGACGCACCGGTCAGCTGATGGCTTCTTGTTTCTTAACCCTTTCACTGCCAAGTGTGGCCAAAGGCAAGTTTCGACCAAATTTCCAAATTTCATTTTCCAAAATTGTGGGAAGCAAATAGCATCACGTGAAAGTACAGGCAGAGAGCTTTCATTTGAATGGTCACATCATAGGATTTCGTCCACAGACTCAAAAGTTAGAGTCACCTTACAAAACTCCATCAAACAGTCTGGCAGTGAAAGGGTTAAATGGGGCATTACAAAACAAATTTTAGAAACGGCACTTTGCCCAGGGCAAAAAATCTTGCAACAAGCAAAATTGCATCTCACGTTTTCTTAAGTTACACAGAGGAAATTCTCCGATTATCATGAGCATGATCTATATCATTATTGTTTCAATCCTTAGCTTGTCATTTCACCGTCAGCGCGACATCCCAGGAGTTTGTGTCTCCAAGTTACGCTACCGGTGGTTACCCCAGTTCTCAGCTTTGCACGTGGCGGTTCCTGGTACAAGAGAGCAATCCTCCAACTGAGCAGGTTTTAATCAAATTCCCGGAGTTTAACCTTCAAAAGGGCGGAGACGGAGATGTTGTAAAGATTTACAGCGGATGGGATGAGAAAGCCCCTCTTCTTGCAGAGTTCAGCGGGGATAGACCTCCACCAGCGAAGGGCGTGGCATTTAAGTCTCCCGTAGTTTTTCTGGTGTTTAGATCCGATTCTCGTGGAAAATCAAAGGGCTTTCGTGGACTGTTCGTCAATCAGCGTGAGTTTAAAGGGTTTTTATGTAGTAAAGGACGCACTTAATGTATGAGTTTCTCGTTCGAACAGCAGTGACTACCAATAAGGAAGCAGTGTGATTGGTGGACTTGCCATCCGGTGGTCCAAGGTTCTCTTCGCCACTTGCTGGTTTTTTTTTTCGGCAAGAGAACATTTCTCGGTGGTCCCGAGTTCAAATCCTCGGCCACACTTGTAAATAGACAGCAGGTCGCCTCCTGCTAGTTGGGGTTTTTAACCCTGTTATGTTCTCTGTGCATTGTTTGTTTCTAATTATGTGTTTCTCTTTTTGTAGCTTATGACGCAACAGCTGTACCTAAACATCCAATTACCCTTCCTTATACTTCGACGATTAAGCCAAGTAAGAACACTTTTGCAATGTCCGGAACTTTTAACAATCCATAAGTGACCGCTACGTTTCTGGGAAACTGCCCACCTACCCCTCCCCTAAGCCGACATTTTGCCCTGAGTGAGAAGTAAGTGTTAATGTTGACTAACATCAGTTTTCTCCCTACAATATCCATAGCTTGTTAAGAGATACGGTTGTGAGAATTAACAAATGATCACCAAAGAAAAAATGCCTTGATCTTTTATTAAATTCTCTCAACTAATTCTTAAAGGAAATGTATTGAGATCAGTTTGGAGAATTTGAATGTTAATATTGGAACTTAAAGGATTAAATGAGCTGTGTCACTGACGGTCTACTTCATTGGGTTAATGCTGCCAATAACGCGTCTTTATTCGTTGAGGGACGTAAGGAAAATATTGTCAATTTACTAATCAGGTTGAAGGGCAATTCGAAACACATTTCCGGTAGCTCGCTGAGTACGTTGGGGAACCAGATTCCGGGGGGGGGGGACTCCGCATATGAAAGGTGTGGGGATGCTCGTCGTCTCGCTTAGGGGTGTAAATTTCGGATTTTGGTCTCACTTAGGGTGTTCTGGGCAAAACGCCATCATATTTAGCCGTGAAGGTCTCCTTTAGGGTTGCACGCCAAAAAATATAAAAATATATATATTATCTGTGTCTTAACATGGTCTCTTTTAGGGGTCAAAAAAAGCCTGGGCCACGCCCAGATCGGTCTCCTTTAGGGGTTGGATTCAAACCCTTTTATATGCGGAGTGCCTCCCCCCCCCCCCCCCCCGCCCACGAGAGAGGAAAGTGCACATTCTCGCTGACACCAATAAACCGGGGATGAAAACCGCCTGTCCGCGGGGGTGGGAGCCACCAAAAAAAAAATTTCTATATTCCTCCTACAACAGGTACAAAAATAAAAAAATAACAAAGATAAAAACAAAAGGGGAGAGGGAAGGCAGGAAAACAACAAAAAAAATAAAAAATAAATATATTTCTTGTTCTTAAACTGGGTTCTTTTTGGGGGCAAAAAAAGCCTTGGCCCCGCCCCAATGGGGCCCCTTTTGGGGGTTGATTCAAACCCTTTTTTAGGCGGGGGGCCCCCCCCCCCCCCCCCCGGGACCAGATGAAGGATATCGGCTCTGCTTCGGAGACATTACTAACCGGAGTTAGATCACCTCTGTGACGCAGGCTAGGTAGCCATTAACAAGTAATTTCTCAAGTTCCTTAGCAAATGAGGACACGTTAAAAATAGTGAACTTACGCAACAGAACGGGAGAGGAGAGAAGACGGCAAACCTTGTGTGAAAAGCGTGACAATAATTTTGTTTGAAAAAGCCTTCTGCCAAACTTCACCTTCCTTTAGAAAGATCTTTTTGTAAAATACAAAACCAGAGTAATGTTAAGTGAAGATCAGGTCAAAACTCGCAAAAAGCAGCCCTGTCACGTTTGTCGCGCACAAGTGTTTTGCTGTCTCTCCTTCCTGTGGTCCTGTTGCGTAAACTTACTATTAACAGGATGAACTAGACAGTAGAGTCTAGCTGTAGAGTCTAGGGTAATGCATCGTTTCCCTATGTTTTTTATAGTTCCTTCTTCGACTCCAACTGTAACGCCAACGGAACGAGCCGCAAAGACAATATCGACTGAAAAAGTTAGTTCTACTGAGGTCAAGAAGCCAGTAGGGACGCCTAGAAAATCTGTGGCGCGTCCGAGAAAAGGTAACATTAATGTATGTGTTGCAGTTAATTTTTTATTTCAGTTAATTTTTGTTTTTCCGTTGTTTTTTGCCATGGTAATGAATCTGAAACAAAGAAAAACAAAACTTAACTGAAACAAAAAAATTACCTGCAACATATGTGATAATGAGCAATTGTTTAGTGAGGCTAAGAAGGATGTAATGAATTATAAAGATCGAGCAGGATGTTATTTTTCTTGCAGATTCTCTTCAAAAAGTAGACAGTAAAGATAAAAAGCATGGGAATGAAACATTTAATCAACAATGAAAACGTGTGTTAACTTAAAAACATATTTTCGGTCACCGAGTTTGTTTTTTTAATGAGTATCTGCCATTTTCACCCAAGAGCGATCGCAAAAAGGCGAAAAGCGTGTTTTCATTTACGCATGAGCAGAATATTATTTGCAGCCAAACACAGTTGGAATACAGCAGACCATTATTTGTGGGGAATTATTTACAGGCCACGTGGTGGGCTCTCGATCAATGAAAAGGAAAAATAAATTGCTTCGAATGATAATCATTATTATGACTATTGTGATTATGATTATCATGGTTATGAATATTAATATCATTAATTAATATCATGTTGTTGTTGTTTCATCTTTAATATTATGATTATGATTATGATTATTATTATTATTATTAAACTACAGGGGATATTTTTTTTTCTGACGAATGTTTTGCAAACACTTTGCAGGTTCCAATGTTTCGGCTATCGTCGCGCCAGTGGTAGTGATCGTTTTGCTCGCCGTTCTGCTGTTGGTTGGATTCTTCTACTGGAGAAGGTGGGATCCGCACGCCTTAGTAGAAACACCATAAAACACTTTTAAAGGGAACCTGAACGTTAAAAGTGGAAACAGGCGATTTTTTTATTAGTTTCCCTATTCGCTTTAGTAAATGGTAAGAAATGGTGCCTGGTTTTTCTTCCTCGTAGCCAGTGGCTGAACTGCGGAGGAACCAGAGAGGTGAGATCGGCAGGTAAAGGTACACTTCGCAGCCGCCTTAATCTATGTTTGATCACACTTCGCCCACCCCAGACCTCAAGACTAACGACGGCACAAATTAGATAGACTATGACACTGGGGGCTATACCCCCCTTAACTTGCGATCATCCCTCTTCCCTTAGACTAACATCCTCTACTCTTTTCAAACAATTTCACGGGTTCGTTTTATTCATAAACCTGGAAGTTGTATGAAATTTAAAAATAATCCTATATGTGCAGTCACAGTGAGGCTATCTACAATGGATTTTATGTTTATTCCATGACAGAAGGAGCTCCATTAAAAAGGCCGTGCTGAACATTACTCTCCCACCAGTGAGATATCCGAAGTAAGTTACCGTAAAATAAAAATTGGTCTTCTATGCGTACTTGCGTTTTTACGGGTGGGGGAAGGCACTTGACAACGTTTTATGGGGAGGCTTCGCCCCTCAGTTTGACCCCTTATCCTTTAATACACATTTTGTTTACAGAAAAGTTATCCCTTTCGGAATCCTGCCATTGAAAATGGTACCGTTTTCACATGCCTTCATAAGAACATTGTGTCCCATTTCCATTCTCTTATAATTTAAAATCGTACGGGGTCAGGGCATTTTCTATATGTGCCCCTCAGCTGTGGAATCCCCTTCCACTGGACCTAAGAGTGTGCCATTCTGTAGATAGTTTTAAGAAAGCCCTGAAGACGTGTCTTTTCAAAGACTTATGGTTGAGTAAAACTAAGGCAAAACTTTTCATGAACGTATGTCAGAGATTGGTCCCAAGATTTTGAGATTTTACTTAAGTTATATTTTATTTTTTAAGGCAATTTTCAATTTTCTATTAATGTGAAGCGCTTGTGGACTCTTAAGGAATAAGTGCTATATAAATAAATTGTTATTATTATTATTATTATTATTATTATTATTATTATTATTATTAATGAAGTTAAAAAATATTACCAGAGAACATTGGGCATTACTGAAAAAGATGTTAAGTACGGAATATTTAGCTAAAATCCCCTTAAGATACCTATAGATGACAGATTTTCCCTGAGAACCTGTCATTAACTTCAACTCGAGAAATTCCTTCTCTTTTATTTTACCTGCATACTGCAAAGGTTCCCCTTTTGGGCGGAGCCTCTTCATGTAGGCCATCATAGGGAGTACCCCTGGGGGTTTATACAGTAGATGAAGTCGTACCCTCTTGTTAATAGACTTCATTGCTGCTATTGTTTAGAGAAACTTTGAATTTTTGTCGCGCAAGTTGAAAAACAATGATGTCATACGTTGAACAAGATTTTATGACCCAGGCAGCCAACAGACTCCGTTAAAATTTAACTATTTTAAAGACTAGTAGTAATTGAAAATTAGGATAGTGCGTCCGACCGTGATTTCACTAGACCAATCACGTGATTTTTGTGCAAACGAGGCTAAACCTTGAACCGAGGCAGAACATAGATACCAGTTCCTGGCCGAGAAAAAGCCCCTGAAAAATCGGCAGGACGGCTTAAAGTGCGTCCGCTATACAAGTAACAAAAAAAAAGAAGTAACCAAAAAAAACGCCTGAGTGTTACGACGAGTAAAACTGATATCACAGTTTTAATACTTTCTTCTTCTTTTTAATTTGGGACAAGACCCTTGGACATTCTAATTCACAATAATAGGAATTCTTCTGTCGTTGTCGAATTAAACATCCTCTTTCGCTCAGTTCAAAATCACCACGCCATAAGAACCTTGGAAATTTGAAAACAAACATTATTTTAACTTCTTTTTGTATATTTGGTTTGCTTTCTCATTTATTTTACTTTTCAGAGATGAAGAATTATGCCCAGACACCAAAGATGCTTAGCCATAGAAAAGAAACAAAAACGCCATTCAACTCATTTTTGGTTTGTTTGTTTTGTGTGAGTCGTGAATCATGTCCACGGCATTTTGAGCTCAGTCTGCAGGACGGTTTCATTTAGCTGATCCAAATCCTGCATTTGTGATCTGCTGATTAACTCCTTTCCAATTATAAGTAAATCAGTGAGTTATTAGAGTTCTCAAGGCTTGAGCAAAATTTTGTTTTAAAAATTTCCAATTATAAGTAAATCAGTGTGTTATTAGAGCTCTCAAGGCTTGAGCAAAATTTTATTTTAAAACTTACAACCCTAAAATCAACCATTGTGCTCTACGTTGTATCTACTGAAGAGTATATTGTTCAGTTGAGAAGATGTAACCCAGTAAAATTGTCAAATTAAAGTGTGTTTTACTTTCAAAGCCTTGTACACGGTCTTCACTTCCATTAAAAGCCCCTCCCCCTCCCACTAAAAGAGTGTTCTTGCATTCACTAAGTATTGGATTTTAAGCAAAGGGGGGGTAACAAATCTATAATAGCAACCTCAACATGCGAACTAGGGTCAAAATTGTGGAATGTGCGTGCTTTCACCAATGCGTCGCCCCATTGTTAACCAATATATTTTGTATTTGTTCATAAATAAAAGATCACTGAAACGGTTGCGCTTGCTCAAAATGAAAATTATGACCGATGTTTAGGCCATGCGTTCTGTACAGTCAACTCTGTCTAAGACGGACACCTTTGGGACCGGCACTAAGTGTCCGTCTTAGAGAGGTGTCCGTCTTATAGAGAGTCAAATAAAGGGAGTAAAGAAAGGCAGGCACCAACTCTAAGTGTCCGTTTTTACAGAGGTGTCCTTCTTATAGAGGTGTCCGTTAACAGAGAGTCGGCTGTACTGCTTTTCCTCTTTGAAGTACATAATGTCGGAAAACCTTAGAAAATGTCAATTCTGTGAAATTTTGTTCGTCGAAGCTAAGAAAGTGCTACTTAGCATTATGTAAATATAGGAAAGAAAACCCTAATTCATAAGTACAGTCAGCACACTAATTTGGTAAGGGGATTAACAAAACTAGTTTCGAAACACGTATTCTTCAGAAAGTTGTTCCATCTCTTTCGACCCTTACTGTCTAGTTATTTGTACCAATGACGTTTAATCACAGACAATTAGCATTTCGGGAACACATAAGATTGGATGAGATCCAGATCCTGCATTTGTGATCTTCTGATTAACTCCTTTCCAATTATAAGTAAATCAGTGTGTTATTAGAGTTCTCAAGGGTTGAGCAAAATTTTGTTTTGAAAATTTCCAATTATAAGTAAATCAGTGTGTTATTAGAGCTCTCAAGGCTTGAGCAAATTTTATCTTAAAACTTAAAACCCTAAAATCAACCATTGTGCTCTACGTTACATCTACTGAAGAGTATATTGTTCAGTTGAGAAGATGTAAACCAGTAAAATTGTCAAATTAAAGTGTGTTTTACTTTCAAAGGCTTGTACACGGTCTTCACTTCCATTAAAAGCCCCTCCCCCTCCCACTAAAAGAGTGTTCTTGCGTTCAGTAAGTATTGGATTTTAAGCAAAGGGGGTTAACCGGGGTACTAGTAAAAGTCTCTAACAGCAACCTCAACATGCGAACAAGGGTCGCAATTGTGGAATGTGGGCGCCTTCACCAATGCGCCGCCCCGTTTTTAACCAATATATTTTGTATTTGTTTGTAAATAAAAGATCACTGAATTTAGTTCAACGTACGGTTGCGCTTGCTGAAAATGAAAATTATGACCGATGTGTAGGCCATGCGTTCTGTACAGTCAACTCTGTCTAAGACGGACACCTTTGGGACCGGCACTAAGTGTCCGTCTTAGAGAGATGTCCGTCTTATAGAGAGTCAAATAAAGGGAGTAAAGAAAGGCAGGGACCAACTCTAAGTGTCCGTTTTACAGAGGTGTCCGTCTTATAGAGGTGTCCGTTAACAGAGAGTCGGCTGTACTCCTTTTCCTCTTTGAAGTACATAATGTCGGAAAACCTTAGAAAATGTCAATTCTGTGAAATTTTGTTCGTCGAAGCCAAGAAAGTGCTACTTAGCATTATGTAAATAAAGGAAACAAAACCCTAATTCATAAGTACAGTCAGCACACTAATTTGGTAAGGGGATTAGCAAAACTAGTTTCGAAACACGTATTCTTCAGAAAGTTGTTCCATCTCTTTCGACCCTTACTGTCTAGTTATTTGTACCAATGACGTTTAATCACAGACAATTAGCATTTCGGGAACACATAAGATTGGATGCGGAAACATAGATACATGCCCCACCCTCCCTCCCATGATTTTCAAATGGGCATTCCATAGCCCAGAGCAATGTTTACTTTCTTAAGATTATCTTATTGGTTTACATAAAGAACGTTGTTGATTCATTGAATCATATCGTTACATACACTAGGCACAGCTTTTCATTTGAGAGCCCAACAACATCAGTCTGTTAAGTGAATTCCACTCAGTGCAGTTGACTCACATTTCCGCATCACGTAGACGATGACCCTAACCCTGAAACAGGCCTTCCTAAATGAGACGATTAGAGGCTTCGTCATTTTAATTTCTCATCGCTGCTTTTAATACAGCGGATATGGTTTCCTGGAGAATTTTGTGCCTTATGTCCCTTACATATTTCTTGCACACCACAGGTGTGGATATTGTGTGTTTTCACATGACGTCATGGCGGCCATGTTGGTGTCCCAAACCAGTCCTGTGGGAGTTGAACTCTTTTCTTATGTAAACGCTTTCTTTTGTTCCAATAAATTTGCATAGATGCTGGCCACGTGAGTGAAAACACGTCCAATATGAAAAAGGTCTGTCTTTTTAGCTCGATTTTCATGGTTCGTGCCAGGAGAGTTGTTGGATCATGCACATACACTTGAACTGCAAACTGCAAGTGGAGAAATTGTAAAGAGATCCGATGTCTGAAATTAATAAATACAACCGACACAAAGCAGCTATATGAAAATCACCAAAATTGTGATAAATACTAGATGTAATCGAGGAACATTAATCTTTACTTCTCACACTGAGAATTATTGGAATGCAAACCAAGATGTTTGATATCCCGGAACGCTTACGTACTGTACGTAATCTTAGGAGTCTACGGCCACAGTTTCCACATGGTGTTAGATTTTTTTAGGTCATTACGGTAACTTTTGAGGACCGGACTGGGCCGAAAAAAGGCTACCGGGATTTCAGATATCGAGGTCCTTTTTTCCGGATTTTCGGCAAGAGCGATATTAGTGTTCCACAACAATGAAACGGCAGCCTTATTGCCGTTCTAAACAAACCCTGTGGGAGCTGGACTCTTTTCTTCTGTAAAAAAGATCTTTTGTTCCCATAAATTTGCATAGATGCTGGCCACGCTACGCTCTGTTCGATGGATCACGAACTTGTAAATATTTAATATTTTGCCCAGGATTACGGGATAATTCGGATCGCGTCACGTGGACAGTCTGAGCAGTAGCTAACGATCTGTACGGCAACTTGAAGCCAAAGCAACTTGGAGAGTAAATTGTAACACTTTGACCTAGAATCTACCCCGGGGGTTACGAGATGCTCACCTACTCATTCCTTGAGACAACATTTTGCCCTAAGTGAGAAGTTAAAGTTAATGTTGGCTTAGGGAGGGGTAGGTGGCAGTTTCCCAGAAACTGGTTGTAAGACCCTTGCTTGTAACATCCCGGGTTGTAAGACCTCTGGTCGTAAGACCCCTGGACCGGGTTGTTCAAATTTGGGCTACGATAACCTAGGGTTAGTGCGAAATTTGAATTCAGATATGAAAGCTTAAAAAGTACATTCAGTTTAATTCTTTTTGTCAACAAGTTGTTGATTGGATGCTCCTAAAAAATAACAGAGAAAACTATCCGAGAAAATGCTTTTGAACAAAAGAAAAAGAAACCCGGGTTAAATTTAACCCTGGGTTAAGTGCTAATCGGCCTTCGAACAACTGGGCCCTGGTTGTAAGACCCCTGGTTGTAAGACCTCTAGCCGTAAGACCCCTGTTTTTAAGACCTCTAGTGGTAAGACCCCTGGTTGTAAGACCTCTGGTTGTAAGATCCCTGGTCGTAAGACCTTTGGTTGTAAGACCTCTGATCGTAAGACCCCTGGTTGTGAGACTCCTGGTTGTAAGACCCCTGTTTGTAAGACCTCTGGTCGTAAGACCCCTGTAAGACCTTTGGATGTAAGACTCGTGATGGTTAGACCCATGGTTTTGAGATCAGTGGTGGGAAGACCCCTGGTTGTTAAGTCCCCTAGAAGCCATTAAAGGTCTAGTTTCCAGTCCCCGTTTTGGGTGCTCGGTCACTATATTTCGCGTAATACTATGCAATAAAATGTGTCGAGGAGGTAAAATGATAATTTACATTAATTGCAGTGATTAACAGTTCAATAAAGGCCTTTGACTGATAAAAATGTTGCACTATGAAAAAGGTTAATAGTTTTCATTTGAAAAGTGTAGCAAGTCACCTTAAAAAATATCGTATTCTTTTCTACATTTTTCAGGGGCTTTATATGTAATGAGTTAACTCTAATAACACCAAAGAAAATTTCTTACGAGACCGAGAAAATAAATGTCAAATTAAAAAGTGTAGGAAGCCACATTTTTCAGGGGCTATAGATATAATGAGTTACCTGTAATAACACCAAAGAAAATTTCTTATGAGAGCAAGAAAGTAAATGTCAAATTAGACTACGAGTAGTCCCCCATTTTTCCTCAGGGATAGTAGAGCGAGCGAAACGCGATCGCGCGTGAAAATCACCCCACGCGAGAAAAGGCGACACGCGGCGGGGAGAGAGTGTCGCCTTTTCTCGCGTGGGGTGATTTTCACGCCCGCTCGCGTTTCGCTCGCTCTACTATCCCTGAGGAAAAATGGGGGACTACTCGTAGTCTTCAGATTACCAACTATATCTATAGCCCTTGAAAAATGTAAAAATGAATGCGATTTTGTTGAAATTATTCTGGTACAAGGTTTTTGTCCACTGAAAATTGAAATTACTCAGTTTCCTGATGGATTCATTAATTCATTTTAAGGGTCGCAATTTAAAGCAGATATTTATTTACTGCGGCTGGGTACCCGTTGTAAACGCATTATTTTATCCCTTAAAAAACTCAATTTTAGTTTGAGAACGCTGACTACAGCGAAACCCTAACGTTATCGAAGGGGAGGAACCGGTGATACACCGGGATTGCCAACGAGCAAGCCGAGCGAAGACGGTCGGCTTTCGAGGCGGCGAAGTATTGCTGTAGATTCCCTGGGGATTTTAGTGGCGTTAGATTTCACATGTAGTTTCACGTGACTTTTGCAATCTCGTTCCCAGAGTGCGCGTTGCTTTGTCCAGCGGAAGGATCGCAGCCTCTGGGAACGAGATTGGCGACTTTTGATGACCTTTGTTGTAAAACGAAGGAACCTTCAAAGTTCGGACAATGTTCTCTGCCACACTACTGTACTTGTACGAACTACAACTCGCTATTTCAAGTTCGCGCTAACCTATAAATGTTATTTCCCTTTCGCTGTTTGAAACTCGACAAGTTTAAGGTTCAAAAATGTCTAAAGCAGAAGAATAAGCGCGATTTTAAGGCCACGAGCATGGCAGCAATGTAGGAACGAAGAGTGCTTGTGATGGAAATTCTCGGCTCAGCAGCTAAAATGGTTTTATAAACATTGGAACTAAAACCGGTGATGTAGGCAAATTCTTTTTCTTTCGTTGGCACTTAGCAAAAGCTACAACTAGTATAGGGTTTTGCCGTATCGGATTATCCCCTGGGTTTTGTTTTATAACATCGGGTATAGTTACACCTGCATCCAAGATAAGTATTGTAAACAAGTCTGCGGGGTAGTGATCACAAGAAGCCTTTTAATCTATGTCGTTACATCAATATGCAGAATTTACAGAAACAACTTCCCCTCTCGTCCTATCGCTGAATCATGAGAATTCTCACGGCTTTAAAAGGCTGGGAGATTGACCTGGTAATAATTCGCTCATTGTTTCGCAACGACAAGCATTCATAACTTATGAAAGAGGGCGGCTTGTTACCTTGACTTTTGTACGTAAACTACATAAATTAAGGTAGTTGGACCGAAGATAAAAACAGCTGCCACTCGCACGAAGTGCCAAGAATTGCAGGGCTGATACGACATTTGTCAACAGTAGATAAGGGTTCCCTAATGTGGAGAAGTATTCTGCATAAGGTTTCAGCTGATACTAGTTTTATTAACGGCAGAGAATACACAAGAGGTGCGATACACTAATGCGGGGATTTATCACTGGTAGATAAGAGCTTCGAAACGCGAAAACCGACCGCAGTATGATTTTCACGCACATTTTTCGTTATTTGGATGATAGAGATGCCGAAGAAGTGCGCCGCTCGCCAGCCCCGAAATTACGCATCCAAAACTCTGCTTCTCACTGGGAACATCAAGATGTTAGATTCCAGAAGATTTCAGTGACAGCTCCTGCGGGAAAAGTGTTAAGATCGCCACATAAAGATCGCGAAACTAGACAAGGATTCGCAAGTTTACGCGCGCCTAGCTCACGTCCTTGTCAAAAACCAAGAATGTTACCACCGATTCATGGATCGCTTATCAGAGGGGAAGCAACAACGGTTTGTAATGATCACAACTCGGCTAGGTTACCACCAATTGAGCCGTCTGTGAAACAACTCAGCGAGTATGAAAAGAGGTCGCGCTCAAGAACAGCAGAGAACGTTTGTTTGAAAAGTGTCATTGGCGCGGGTAACTCGTGTAAGGATCAGCCATGCGTTTCTTCCGCTAATTTGCGACATCACGAGGAGGCAGGTTCGAAAGAGGAAATGCCAGCTGTTTTGAAAAGTTGCAGTTTGCAAGATATTTCTGCAAAGGAACACTATCAAGATCTTTTCAAGCAAACTGCGACTCAGCATGACTTAAAAGCGAGAACAAACGTGAAATCTGCTAAAACTAGTGGGATTACCGCAGGAGAAAACTTCACACACAGGGCAAGGTCCGTTGGTGATTTACAAGCAGCGAGTGACAAAGAGTGGGCGCTGAGAGAATTTAGGAAAGAGAACACAGTTAACGATTTTTACAAACTAGAAAAACCAAGTGAAGTCAACAGAGCAGAAACTTTGCCTTTTTCCGTAAAGCGAAACCGTAAAAATGTAAATATACGCAACATGCAAGATGCTGAATATTTACATGGTGAGTCAGCTTTGTTTCAGGTAGACGGTTGCCTGGCAGCAACGAACTTCAAGAAAATGGGAAAATTAAACGACTTTGAGGCGGCAGAGTACGAAAAAGGAAGGCGCAATGCAATATGTGAAGTCTTAGAAAAGAGGACAGTTCCTCCGTTTGGGTCTAGTTTGTACGAAATGAGGCAAAATTTAATCCAGTCGTTGTAAGAGAAGCCTCGAATGCAGCAACGATCGAAAAGTAGCGATAAAACAAATTAAGCTTGAGACAGGTGCATTTAGCCTTTTGACATTTTAAAGAAGTTCCGCGTGACAGAATGTAAATTCACTATTCACCGACGCTCTTGCAAGTCAAATATAAAAATATAAAACCACGCATCCTGATCCGGTAGGAAAACTACCATTAAAGAAGTATTTATGGCTTAGGGAGAGAAAAAACGAAGTTGTTTCTTCAGAAAATCTCCATTGCATTCCTGTTTTTGTTTCGGGAAAATGACTTGGGAGGAAATTATCGCTAAGATGAAGCGACTAAGAATTAATCCACGAAGACATGATTAAAAACATGAAATTATCATTCGTTTACTTTCGTAAACGTCGAGAAGATTTCGTTGTAATTAAACCGGTCGTAAAGTTTTTACTTTAGTTCGACCTTTGAAAAAATGAGTTGTTCATAATAAGCATTTAAACTTATTAAAGCACAGTTTTCCTTTTGAAGATTTAAAGACTCTTACAGTTTGTGCGTCAAAAAGGTTTTTAATTTGAACGGATGTTTACAACCGGAGTGGGAGTAAATAACGTTTAAGTTTTAGCAGGTTTGAGCAAACCTAAATTGTTTATTCACGACTGGGCTAAAAATAGCTATCCACACAAGAACTTTCGTAAATTGTGTGGGTGTGATTTGCTCGGCAGGTGGAGAAAGGCAAGTTGTAATGTCCTGCTTTTTCTAGTGGTTTTAAGCATGAAGGGTAAGAACACAATGCAAAAAGGAAGAAGGCAAGCCGCGTTGTTCACCATTAAGGCCCTGTTCACACGAGCCTGGACATTTTTTCCAACCGCATATATTTTTTACCCGGGTTCACGATCATGTGGACGGGGTTTTTTATAACCACTCAACCAAAGATGCGGTTTCGGTGAGCGAATTCACTAGAGCGTTTTAGATTAGGACGACTACGAGTATACGAGTACGAGATTTTACGTAAACGTTTTTTCGCGTATTGTCGAAAAATATTCAACCCGGAAAGCTTCATTGTACTATTATCCACCTATAAAAATTAGTCCGTTTTTTTTATTGGAGAAGGTTTAGCTCTTTCCCGGTTGCAAAATGATAAAACTTCTAAAATTTGATAACTTCAATGTTTTCGCCAGCATTCTCGCTAAAACTCGTAGTAGAATGACGACGGCTACCACGTTTT